ACTTCCTCAGACCAGGTAACAGCCATACCAGGTCTTTTGATTCTAAAACACGTATCTCCAATTGGTGCCCACTGCTCAGCCGATATATGTGCCCACTCTAGATAGCTCTTGAATGGCCATTTACTTTCTCGTAGGGCATTATTCACTGATATGCAAAATTAACGAAAGAATCGTACGACTGGCAAATGAAAAATTTGGAAACTTTTGGTTCCCACTGCCCTGTCGACTTAGACCAGAAACTACCTAAAATTTATAACATTTTTCGATAGAGGAATATGGAAACTCCGATCCGTGCTAACCCTAAATCATACTTTATTTGTCTACTTATTGAGCGCACCGTAGATGAATTCTCACAAGGTCGTTGACGTCACTGGGAAATGAATGACGCTGATGATTGTATGGATGGATCCACATCTGAGAATAAGTGTGTAGCGTGATATATGCGTCTACTTTACCAAACATCTCCGGCGATAACAGTTTGTCTCGAATCGCTCTGTAACAGCGCAGTGTCATAATAGTACTTTCAATTTATCGGGATTACGTCAAGACTATCGATGTAAAGGTGCAGTGTTAAAGGTGTTGTTGGGATAAAATACGCTGGGCAAAACTATACCAGACATTTCGGTCTTAAGCTGTATTCCTCCAGGTATTATCCATTACTACTTGTGCAATTTCTTCGGAAGCTGCCTGAATAGTCGCTTACTTTCTTGCGGGCAACATCGTCCATAATGACAAATGCAAATGCCAAATTTCATAAATTTCGCTGACAAAAGTGAGAAAGTGAGAAATGAGGAAGATATGAGAAATGTCATTTAAAAAATCAACTTCCTCTCAGTAAAAGACGTTCTACCTCCTTTTCCTGGCTCTCTTATCAGTAAAATATTCCACCGCTATCTATGACGATTTCGCAACTGTACTGTTACGCCTAAGGTATATCACTAGGAGTCTCCACTATGATTTAGTGAAAAGATAAGGATTAAACCTCGTTTCGGGTTCACTGAAAGGCCCACTGCCTTGGTATATTTCTGAGCAGACGTCCGTGCTTGAGCCAGTTTCTGAAAAAAGATGCACTGAGATAGATTTTATATCAAAACTAGCCCTAACTGAGACACTGAATGACCTAAAAATGGATCGTCTCATCTACAAGCAATTATAATTCGAAAATGAATTTGATTCTCTGGAAAATGAACCTCCCCAATGGAAGTCGAAGTTCCGATTCAAATCCACTCCACCACAGCAACGCTCTCGATGCCACTGATTCTTGTAACAC